GTTTCAATCGAATAATAAGCTTTGAAGAAGATAATAGAACAGCTGAAAGATGTCTGCCTTTCAACTATTTCAATATTGTATATTTGTTTTCAGAACGAATGCAACTGCATATTAAATTAGATTATATGAATTACGTGTTATGCAGACTCGAAAAATGAAATTTTTTAATATATACTTTTATTATTTATATACATGCAGATCTAATTCAATTATGTTAAACCACACTATCTATATATAGATATTATATTAAGATTCTTTAGAAATACAATACAATTGAAAATGAAAGAAATTTAGATATATTTAAGAATGAAAAAAAATCGAATACTATATTAAAAGTTATAACTAATTGAATATTTTATTTGCCAAATTAATTATTAAGCAGGATTATGTTTTACTTTGCTACCTCGTTGTAGTTACAGCTATATAATGTTTGCATACAGCAAACATTATATGCTGTATACAAACATTGCTATATTCCAACATTATATAGTTATAACTACAACACTGTAACAATAATTTTTATGTAACTTTCTTCATTGCTTAGCTTATTGCTAAATAGCTGTAAAATTTTATATTGCTTTTGATTAAATATACTTTTTACAATAGTTCTATAATACAGGTATGTACTGTACTATGTATATATATAGAATTTATCGATATTTAAATAAGCAACATAAGACAGGAATCGATAATAAAAATAATACAATAACAAGTAGGCTAAGTCAAAAAAAACAAGATTGAACTTATTTGAGAAAAGAAAATATTTGACGTTTTAAATAATGTAGACTGAATCAATTTCTATTGAAAAAGGAAAGATATTGTTAAAAATTCTTAACTAAATTTAAATTCAAAGTTTGATACGAGACAATCTAATTTTGTTGTGGAATAATTTATATTTTAATATTATATTTTTTCATTAATAACATTTTATTTATTCAATACATACTTTAAATATTAAGGAATAGTAAATATATAAACATATATAAGTTTATTCTTATGATAGGATCTATTTTTGTAAATATAAAATATTGACTGATCGTGAAGTTACGTGACATAATACATATAATGGTAAATAGATAATAACGGGTATTTTTATTTCGGTATCTTTTTAATAATTTTATGCATTTATATTAATACTAAGTCATGGTGAAAAATTGGATTTTATGTTATGAAAACAATCAATTTTTACTTTTCAANTAAAAATTTGATAATTAAAAAGAGAATAAATTGAAAATTTTACTTATTTAAAAAATAAAGTATGTACAGACTATTTAAAATTAATATTACAACAAAACGTGTTTAAATGTTGAGAAATTAATGAAAAGAAAATTGTAAGTTTCGAACACTGTTAGAATTTTTTTCAAGAGAAAAATTTTTTGGATCCGTTATTTGGTTCTAGGGAATTAACTTATTGCCAAGAGGATAACTACTTGATTTACCCTCTCCTTCTTGCATCCATGCATTAATTCTCTTAGAATTTATTGTATTCATTTTGCTTTGAATGCAGTTTTTTTTTAATATTAATTTATTTGCCAACTTATTCCCTTTATCCGAACAAATACAATTATTATTTCAGTTTTTATTATTTTTTAAATTAGATCTTCGCATTAATATGAATGAAATCATAGATCCGTTTATTCATTTATGTAATTTTTACTAAGAAATTGGTAATAAGATAAATTTTAGTAATTCAGCAGTATTTTAAGAGCTAAAATCAATCATTATTTTTAAATTTGCAAACTCTTAACAAAAAAAATATATCGATTTTTGAAGTAAATATCAACTAAAATACCGATATATACAACACATAAAATCTGAAATAAATTCTGTTTATATTTATATCAATCATTTCATTGTTTTTCTGTTTCTAGAAATTTAAATTGAAACCATATTCTAATATTCGCATAAAATAAAACTGTATTTCTTTTAAATTTTACTTATATTGCTTTTAAAATTTATAAGAATATATATTTTAATATTAAGCTGGAGTTTATGTAAATTTAATTAAATTATATAACGTCTTACATTAAATATATTTATATCAAATTGTTTATTTGAATTATAATTACTGTATATTAATTTTTGTTTACATTATAAATTTATAATAATTAAAGTGCATCATAGAATAATTAATTTTAATTTTCCAAACAAATATTATTACTACTTTACTATAAAATTTTAAGTAAATTTAATAAATATAAAGTCATCCTTTATTATTCAGCTTTATAGAAACTAGACATAACTTTAGTATTAATTTATTGTATGTTTTATAAATTCGAAGCATAAAAAAATTTATATATAAAGTTAAACTTGTGTTATAAATTTCGGGTTTTTAAGTTAATTTTATTGTTATATTTGGTTAAAAAAATAAAATTTTCTATTCAGAAATATGAAACAAAGGCCGTCTTTGAATGAATATTTCAAAATTCTAACAATTCAGTAAGAAAAATAAGAAAAATTCTTAAATTAATTTTGTCGTAAATTAATATAATTTTATCTTCATTTCCTCCAAAGATTTATTACATCTTATAATTGAATAAAGTAACTTCATTTTATGTGGAATTTAATATCTTTATTGTACCGATTATTTAGTAAATAAAAATTTAATTAAAATATTTAAATAGGTCAGTCTTTCGGAACTGAATTTCATCAATTATTTTTTATTCATACTTTTTTAATTTAGAAATAAATTAATTTAACAATGTCTTATATTATAAAACTCTTGAAAAATGCTGGTAATTTATATTGTATAAAGGTGTATTTTTTCCTCAACAGATGAATCACAAAGTGATTGTTTGACGAAGTACTTTATTTATTTATAGAACAATTCCTTACAAAATGTATTTCGGACCTTCTTAGTCCCTCAGTTGCAAAGTGGCACTTATTTCGGCTGATGAGAAGCTAAGAATGTTCTAAATGCATTTTATAAGGCTCTATGGTACCACACCATAGAGAATAAAGTACTTCGGCAAGTACTGTTTGTGGTTCCTGCCTTGGAAAGAAAAATACACCTTTCTACAATATATTACATATTTTTTCTGTAAATAATAATGCTTGAGAGTAAATATTATGATTTATTAATATTTATAAGTACTGTAATTTCTCGAGTTACAAATTCAGTAATTTCTACTAAATCTTGCATGTCTTCTATTTGATTTTACTTCATATTTGAAGAATTATTTAGATATATCAAATTAAAAAAAATACAGAGATATTTCCTATAATTTCAAAATATTGCTTTTTTACAATTATACAAACATAAAAATGTTTGTAAAATTAGAAATTTTAAAGACAATTTAAAAAAATTCGCTTCAGAATTTGTTTTTTTTTTGTAGATTTATTTACATATACATATGCGATGATGATCCATAATGNATAATATATATATATGTGTCTTTTTAAAGTATAATAATATTTTAGATATGAGTAATTTTAAAATATATACAATTCGAAATAAATTTTTATATTTTATATACATGTAATTTATTTTATTCTTGTCTTATGTTATAAGCTTATTAGTTATTAAGAGAGTTTCTAGTAAATAAATTAACAGCAATATAATTAAATATTATTTAAAATGTCATTAAGTACTTCCTACGTATTTTTCAAGTTAATTTTGTGGATTACAGCATTACTGTGTTTGTTGTTTATTAAAAAATAGACAAAATTATGAAACCATTTACATATTATTTATCAGGAAAAAATTTCTGATTTATCTATTTTATCAAAATTTATTGTTTATAATTTAAACACCCTCGATAAATAAATTTCATAAGTGAAATATCGTATTTCAATTTTAACAATAGAATATTTATATCTATATACTCGTATATAGAACAATTTAGAAAAAAAATATTCTAAATTATTCTACATTCAATATATATAATTTCTTATTTAGAAAAATTATAAAAAACTTTTTGAAACAACACAAATATCCTAATAAAATGTTCTTAATAGTTATAAATTTTGTCCATTCGATTTATTTTAATACAAAAAATTGAAATTATTTTATTTTGATGATACACGACATTATCTATATTCAGTAATATTAGATATTGTTGCATGTAAAATTAAGGTTTATTAAAATCTATACAAATTTATTCTAGCATAAAACAAGAAACAATTTGAACAAAAATTAAAGTATTGAAAAAATTTTATGACGTACAGTACATACTCTTGACTATTAAAACGACTGATACTTTAAAAATTTTTCCAAGAAAAATCTGAGAAACTCTTAGATAAAAACCCTACAGCATTTAGCATTTAGCTAAATTAATAAGTAAAATAAATATTTGATAAAAATGTAGCTAATAAATTCTATTTTTTTCTTTGCTTAAAAATAAAATAAAATTTACATTAATTTTAATTAAAAAATTTATAGAAATCTAAAATTGAAAATTAATTTATCATCATTTAAAATCGAAATATGTGTTATTTCTTTTTCAATAGGTTAGTTATTAAATTAAAAACTAATCGATTTTCAATACTTATTTTTAAAATTTATTAACTGTTACTTTAATTAAACTAGTTAAATGTTTTTAACTTTTAAAATAAAAGTTTCATAATTGGATTTACAGACAAGTATGTGTCATAGAAATAATCGATATAAACAGTTCATTAAAAGAAAACGTATATACATCTACTTATACAGATAATAACACAAGCTTATTATATTCTATATATTCTTTACTAATATTGTTATTATATAATATAAATTTCTTAATTTTATTAATTTTTCCTTTTAATACATTTCACAAAATATTCTAAAAATTACTATTGTAATAAAGTGATTAAGATCCTAACATTATTACTTACGCATATACCCATAAGTAAGATCAATCATGAAGTTTCATTTTCGATATTAAGAGAAACGAGAAATAAATTAAGATATTTTTAATAAAGTTTTTAGTTGAAAAACTTTAGTTTTCTTCCAATAGAAACTAATACTTCATATATATGAGTGTATATATAAATATATTGATATTAGAAATATACTTTACCATTCTATTCCCAGAACATCAGGTCCACTTGCTTTGAAATAACTTTGCTTGTGCTCCACCGACCTGTTGTATGTTGCCTATATCCACATTTTATCGATTTGTACATACAGAAAGAGAGAGAGGGCGCTTCAAAATTGTTCTGGAAATACAAATCTATAAAATTGTTATTTATTCATCTCATTAGCTACTGCTGTATTTTTCTATCACCATTTGACGCAGGTCTCATTGAAAAAAAAATAGTATTTAAAAAAAGATAATCAATTGGTTTATCATTTCTTTAAATTAGTTTTTATTAATTCAGCCAAAATCGAATATTATTATAAATATTTTTTACACGTTCTATATTTGTAGGAATAAATTAAATTTATTTATATTTTATATTTATTCTGCAATATATTTCTCCCAAAGAATAATTTAGGAAGAATATATACATATTACAGAATGCAGTACAAATTCTGCAATATATTGATATATATGTATACTATTCTTATGAATAATATATATATATATATAATATTTTGTTGAATAATTCTGTTCTTCTGAAATATTTCCGTAGAATAATTCTAAAATAATAAATATACTTTTAAATTAATTATTTTTAAAGTCTATGATTTATAAAATTAATTTTAAAATAGTTTTACCTATATAAATAATACATTGCTGTTAAATAATTAAAATATTGAGAAATAAAACATAGCTGAGCTTAAAAATAATAATGTACAAGTATATTTACTTAAAATTTAATTCAAATTATTAAGAAAATTTTTAAAACTTTTTCGTCATAAAGTACATAAACATATATAATATAGGCCCTATATATATAAATGAAATTTATTGATTGGACGAATATTTTATAATTCATATAGCCTATTATTAAAACATTAAAGGAGGAAATATCATTAGTATAATTTTAAAAATCTTATGTAAAAATTATACATTTATAAGTACAAATAGTAAAACCTTTAATTATGTCAATGATATTTTATATTTAAATATACCCTGTAGCAATTGAAAAATTTAATANATATTTTGAGTACATTAAATTTCATTTTTCTTAATATTTATTTATTGTCAATTTTATAATGTAATTTTTAAAATTTCAAAAATTAATTATATAAACTATTAAAATAAAGCATTTAATGATAAAAAAATGAATAATTCTTCATTTATGTTTGAAAAAAATAGATACAGAAGCAGTATATTTAATATATTATTATATAATAAAAGCCTATTTTGATATTTACTTTAATTGTTTTTTCTGGTTTTATTTTAAATGTCATTTTCGATAATAATTAGAGAAAATTGCAGGACGTTAGGAATCTAAACTTTACTAAATAGTCATTTCGTTTATATCTTACATTAATTAAAATAACAATAACTAGAACTGGAGATTAGCACATTAAATATTCAAGATAATAGCAATTCATTTATTTTTTCATATATTTGCGATTAAAATGAATAATACTCTATTGTAAAATATTTATTAATATCAGAGCATTATTGGAATCTTTATTTTAATTGTTTTTTAAAAAAATAATATTACTGTAATTTTATTTTCGATTTTAAATTGTGCCAATATATCTTTGTGAAAAATATATCTGATGAACGTTGACTGTAGACCAGAATGCGGAATTCGAAATTGGATGAATTTTATGGCTGTTTTTCTTCCTTCAAACCTGCTGAGAAATCTGGGAGTGAAAAAAGTAAAAACCTAAATAGCATTTATCAAGTAAGAATCTAGTTTTTTGTAGCAAAAAAAAGGTGATTGGAATGCATTATTGTTTCCGTTATCTTCCAGAACTGATAACTCCTACATCAGATCTATTTGTTGGCAACCTAATTGGCCGAATGACGTAGATTACAAGCGATACTGGGAGGATTCGATTTCAATTCTGAACCAGACAAAAACTTTCCTTCTAAAGACCAGCACTGTTTTTAGTACGTTTTTACTAAGTTGGAAACTAATATTTCGTTCACCCGCTGTGATAAACTGAGTGAAATGTGTAAAAATCTCATAAAAATGAATAAAACCAAGTAAAGTTTTTCTATTATCAATATTTTCTTTAGTCAGTGACGCCTTACAATGATAAGCATAAACATAATATTTAAAACAATTAATTTAAATAGGCTTTAGATTTTTAACAATGCATAACATAGGTACTTGAAGAAACGAAATACACACAAAAAACATGTTCTTTGAAATAACTTTGCTTGTGCTCCACCGACCTGTTGTATGTTGCCTATATCCACATTTTATCGATTTGTACATACAGAAAGAGAGAGAGGGCGCTTCAAAATTGTTCTGGAAATACAAATCTATAAAATTGTTATTTATTCATCTCATTAGCTACTGCTGTATTTTTCTATCACCATTTGACGCAGGTCTCATTGAAAAAAAAATAGTATTTAAAAAAAGATAATCAATTGGTTTATCATTTCTTTAAATTAGTTTTTATTAATTCAGCCAAAATCGAATATTATTATAAATATTTTTTACACGTTCTATATTTGTAGGAATAAATTAAATTTATTTATATTTTATATTTATTCTGCAATATATTTCTCCCAAAGAATAATTTAGGAAGAATATATACATATTACAGAATGCAGTACAAATTCTGCAATATATTGATATATATGTATACTATTCTTATGAATAATATATATATATATATAATATTTTGTTGAATAATTCTGTTCTTCTGAAATATTTCCGTAGAATAATTCTAAAATAATAAATATACTTTTAAATTAATTATTTTTAAAGTCTATGATTTATAAAATTAATTTTAAAATAGTTTTACCTATATAAATAATACATTGCTGTTAAATAATTAAAATATTGAGAAATAAAACATAGCTGAGCTTAAAAATAATAATGTACAAGTATATTTACTTAAAATTTAATTCAAATTATTAAGAAAATTTTTAAAACTTTTTCGTCATAAAGTACATAAACATATATAATATAGGCCCTATATATATAAATGAAATTTATTGATTGGACGAATATTTTATAATTCATATAGCCTATTATTAAAACATTAAAGGAGGAAATATCATTAGTATAATTTTAAAAATCTTATGTAAAAATTATACATTTATAAGTACAAATAGTAAAACCTTTAATTATGTCAATGATATTTTATATTTAAATATACCCTGTAGCAATTGAAAAATTTAATATGTATAAAAAGTTAATAAACTTTTTTCCTTCTAGTTTTATTTTCTTTCTATTTTAAAAAGGTTTTATGATATTTGAATGTCAAAGTTTTTAAAATATTTTTTTAAAGTATTACTATTGAATTAATTAAAATTATAAAGTATTTATTTATTATTATTTTTTAAATCTAATTTTATAAATCTAACTGCAGATATTTTGACTACATTAAATTTCATTTTTCTTAATATTTATTTATTGTCAATTTTATAATGTAATTTTTAAAATTTCAAAAATTAATTATATAAACTATTAAAATAAAGCATTTAATGATAAAAAAATGAATAATTCTTCATTTATGTTTGAAAAAAATAGATACAGAAGCAGTATATTTAATATATTATTATATAATAAAAGCCTATTTTGATATTTACTTTAATTGTTTTTTCTGGTTTTATTTTAAATGTCATTTTCGATAATAATTAGAGAAAATTGCAGGACGTTAGGAATCTAAACTTTACTAAATAGTCATTTCGTTTATATCTTACATTAATTAAAATAACAATAACTAGAACTGGAGATTAGCACATTAAATATTCAAGATAATAGCAATTCATTTATTTTTTCATATATTTGCGATTAAAATGAATAATACTCTATTGTAAAATATTTATTAATATCAGAGCATTATTGGAATCTTTATTTTAATTGTTTTTTAAAAAAATAATATTACTGTAATTTTATTTTCGATTTTAAATTATGCCAATATATCTTGTGAAAAATATATCTGATGAACGTTGACTGTAGACCAGAATGCGGAATTCGAAATTGGATGAATTTTATGGCTGTTTTTCTTCCTTCAAACCTGCTGAGAAATCTGGGAGTGAAAAAAGTAAAAACCTAAATAGCATTTATCAAGTAAGAATCTAGTTTTTTGTAGCAAAAAAAAGGTGATTGGAATGCATTATTGTTTCCGTTATCTTCCAGAACTGATAACTCCTACATCAGATCTATTTGTTGGCAACCTAATTGGCCGAATGACGTAGATTACAAGCGATACTGGGAGGATTCGATTTCAATTCTGAACCAGACAAAAACTTTCCTTCTAAAGACCAGCACTGTTTTTAGTACGTTTTTACTAAGTTGGAAACTAATATTTCGTTCACCCGCTGTGATAAACTGAGTGAAATGTGTAAAAATCTCATAAAAATGAATAAAACCAAGTAAAGTTTTTCTATTATCAATATTTTCTTTAGTCAGTGACGCCTTACAATGATAAGCATAAACATAATATTTAAAACAATTAATTTAAATAGGCTTTAGATTTTTAACAATGCATAACATAGGTACTTGAAGAAACGAAATACATACAAAAAACATGTTTAGAAAAATTTAATTTATAATAAGTTAAAGCAATTTTGAAAATATTTTACGATTTGANTAATTCTTTTTCAATCACAGCATTGATAGAGATCAATATTTCCTCGTTACAACAATTACGCAGTCGAAAAGTCTGCATAATGCAAATAGCAAAATTTCCACTGTCCTTTTTAGATACAGCAAAAGATTCATTGCATGTTAGAAAGAATCTGTTAATTTTTACCAAACTTTAGAAAACCGAAAGCATTCTCCATATTTTATAAAAATTTGTTTCTAGATGTAATAATTAATTTTGAAGCCTAATATAGTTTTCTCTAAATATGATGTATTTCTTATAAATATAAAAATTAATCATTTTTTAAATGCTATATGGTATGCTTTAGTAAGAATAAAGAAGTGTCTTGTTCAATCAGTGAAACACTCCAAAAACTTTTAATAGTGCTCATTTTAACTCCATTGAATTTAATATCACTGAAGTAAAGTTTTTAATCTTTATGAAATGA